ATTATCTCTCAACCGTTGTGCAACTGTTGAGTTGTCTGAACACACCCATTAGGTGCGTTCAGACAACTCAACGGTTGAGAGATCGTCACTTGTGATAGGACTATTCTTCAAGATCTGCGGCGGTTCCAAAAGTATGATCCAATCAGAAGTGATTGGGTGCGTTCAGACAACTCAACAGTTGCACAACGGTTGAGAGATAATCACTTCTGATTGGATCGTACTTTTGGAACCGCTGCGGATTTTGAAGAATAGTCCTATCATAAGTGATGATCTTTCAACCGTTGTGCAACTGTTGAGTTGTCTGAACGCACCCAACGGTCCAATTACACGTCAGTCACACGCGATTCGTCAGTTCGGCTAATCGACGATTGCGATTGGATTTGGTCGTCGGGGGAAAATTGCGTGATGGTACTACTGGCCATTCGATCAATATTTTGATATTGGCAACACTGATCGGCGCGCATGCGTGTGTAGTCTCTCTGCTATGTGCGCGCAACCAATCGAAACGAACGTCGTGGACGCCATGTCGAAAACCCGCCGCGCACGTACCGTCGTCGGCGGAAGATTTTTTTCGAAGAGGACGGGAACGCACGCGCGACGAGCTAATTAATTAACATCGCGCTACTTATTAGCCGCGAATTATAGTATGTATATATACGATCGTGTAAACATTTGCCGCGCAATTCCCATAACTTATCTTGTCCAAGCGCGTGGCAACTAAATCACAATGGAGGTAAAAAAGAATGTTTGCATAATTGAAAAGTATAACATTTTCTCTTCTTCTATAGATTTTGATTTGAATCAGAAAAAAAAATGGCGAAACAACGAGAGAGAAATTCGAGATAGAATAAAGTAAACAAATGTGGAAAAAACGAGGATGATTTTGAAGAGATATATAATGTATAGACAACTTTTTTTTTCTTTATTCAATTTAATTTACTCATTTCTTACAACACTTCACAATTTTTACCTATGTATATATATAATATATATATACATATATATATATATATACTTTGTTTCTGTACAACTTTTGTTTATTCTTTCTGTTTTGCGTGAAGTCTTGAGTTAAGAAAATACATAAATAAAGAAAAATAATGAAAGATATACATGTGTGTTGTAGCATGTGTGTGTACTTAGCGGTGTATATTTTACAAGTACAATCAAGCGTTTGTTAATGCGAATGTAAAATGAAATTTCTCTTTCGCGGTCATATCGTCAAAACCAAAAAAAAAGAGAAACTGGTTCTTTTCTTTTTGTGTTTTCGATCAAATAAAAATATATATATATTTTTTTCTTCTTTATCGGAAGAATTCACGCGGGTTTTCAAAAACGCGCGTCATCCTCATCGACGGATACCGGGCTTCCGAACGGCCGCTGTTCGTCCTTGGTCTTCTCTTCGGCGTTGCTCCTGTCAACGCGCGACTGCGGCGGCGGCGGCGGCGATTGCGATATCGGCGGGAACGGCACGGTAGGAGCGACCGATTCCGCGGTGTCGGGAGCGGAATTACCGTCCACGTCGAGGGGACCGCTCATGATCGAATCAGGCGAACCGTTTGATTGTTCGATCGGCGCCGCGGCGATGGTGCCGTCTGCTACGGCCAGCTCGTCCGTGGTCGTCCTCGACGGTGGAGGCTTACCCTCCTCAGGTACCGTCGAGGTACGCCGTAAGGCCGTCCTTCGACCTTGACTGTCACCGTGCGTGCCTTCGGTTAGTTTAGCCGACTATGCTCTCGCGTTCAACGCAAACGCGCAGTCAGCATCAAATGTGGTGCTCCGTGGAAAAAAAAAAAAAAACGTGGTAAAAATATCTGTTCTTCGGGAAATAAAACCTGAAGCTTTTATCTCTATTTTGTTTTTCTAAAATGAAACTTTAAAGATCAACTGAGGATACATCACATTCAACAGCAGCTCATGTTGTAATACGTACAGTTTGTTTTGAAATAATGATTTTTTGTACGTGACATCTCTTGTCACCGTGAATGCTTGCTTGGATTACCACATTTGATGCGAATTTAAATACTGTTTGTCACACATTCATGCATCTTTTTACAAACTATAAAACTTTAATAAAAGGAGAGAAAGAGCGAGAGAATAATGTTTGGTATAATGTGAAATATACGAGAAATAGAGAAGAGAACTCACTTCAGTAGAAGGTGCAACATTTGTGCTAATTTTGCAAGAGATAGATATTTTTATTAAAAAAATAATAAAAATATATGAAATTGTAACGTAAAAATATCAAAATGCAATTTCACTATTAATACAAAAATGTTTGAAAAATAAATAACAAACATAAAAAAAAGAAATAAAGACTGAAGTTTGAAAGCATAGATCACTTACTGATTTATATCTACTGGAGAGATTCTCTGATCCGGACTAATCATCTGTCGATTGCTGTTGTCCCACGAATTGTGACGACGGTGACTGCTCTTATCTTTGTACACCTCGGCAATGTTGTTATAACTGCCTACGATTCTACGACGATCGAGTTCCTTCAACATCTTTTCCGGCATATTGCCGGCTGATCTGTACAATCCGCTATTGACCGTAGACTGTACAAAGAAAATATGCGTCACATTATATCACACATTATTATTATTATTAAATAATTGATTCGTTTATTTTGTCTTATTTATTGAGCTATATTTATTTAACTTTTATTATTATTATTAAATTATTTTGCATTATTTTCAGATGATCCGCACCTTCGAGAAGGAGTACACTGGACTAGGAGCTGCATTCGGATTGGTCCAGACGTTGGTAGCGCCAGGTACGTCCTCGTTGTTATCGTTCAACAATTCCGCCGAATACGAGGGTCTCGCGGGTATTATTGGCGATCGACAACACACTCTGTATTATAAAAATATCACAAGAAGTAAGAGATTTCTATAACTACGCGTCAGAGATTATAATTTTTAACGCCAGTAAGAAACTTACGAGTTCACGTCCTCGAGTTTTCTGAGCAGTCTCTCGTTTTCCCGACAAACGAGCTCCTGATCTCGTATCACCTGTTCCCGCGTGGCGTAAAGTTCCGCGTTCTCGCGTCGCAGAGCCTCGTTTTCGGTGATGTACGCGTGAATAAGTTGGCTCAGTTCCGAGCTCTCCATCTCGGCCAATTTGTCGAAGTCCACCGGCGGCGGTGTCACCGGTATCCGTCGTTCGGCTGCGAAAGAATCATTTTGTTTGTTTTTTTTTTGCACATTTTCTTGATAAATTATACAAAACACACATTCTTTTTTGTAAGAATTTTTTGACGAGTTACTTTTAGACTCGCTGCGGATCATATTTTGAGCCTCGCTGCTGAGATGAAGAGCCATTCTCAGATGCTCGTTCTCGGTCTGAAGAGCTCCGACCTCTCGCTTCAGACTGAGAATCAGAGCCTCGCGTGGATCCTAAAAACAAAAAATAACAGTCGACGTTTTGTCACGATCCGTCGATGATCGTGAGTTTTTGAAGAAAACGTTCACCGAATTGCGCATCTTACCATTACTATGATCGGTTTTGTGGAAATCTTTTTGGCTCGCGCGGCATATCGCAGTGTGTTCAGAGTCTCGTTAGCGTTCGAACGTGCCGGTGAGACACAAGCGATCTAGATACAATCAATTGGTTCGATTAAATCTTTCGAAAAGAGCTCACGTCGTGACATTTTTTTAACGTGCCGACCGACGTGGTCGAGATGTATGTTTATCACTTATCGCATAAACAAATATGTACATATATGATATGGGTACGAGCTCTCAAATATATAAATGCGTTATCGCGGCATATACATTGCGACATTGTTTTTGCAGGACCTTTTAAAACTTTTTGGTTTTTATCTACTTGCCATCAACGTGACGCCATTTCCGGCGAGGCTGTCCGCCAGAAGCTTCGTCAGTTTGCTGTCCCGATAAGGAATGTGGCCTCCTTTTCGTTTCGCGTCGCTCAAGGAGGCGATGCAATATCCTGTACGTACAACAAATGCACAACAAACATTATATTTCATTATATTTCTCGCAAAACGACAAACAATCAAATGCTATCACTTTGCCAAACAACGAGTTAAAAGTACGCATCAGTAGGTGTTTTCTGCAAACGAAGTCGCAAAAATTTCGAGTTCTCGAGAAAATCGTGAAAAATTTTCCCTTGGCTTCTCATTTCGCGCGCGTCAGTAATCGCGAAAAAGTTTATCGATTATTTTCCACAGACGGGAGTCGTGTCTTGTCACATGTCAGTAACTTAATAGTCCGCTTCATCGATTGCTTCAGCTATTCTAAATAATAAACATCGTCGTAATTTTGTAACTCACGATCTAATCCAATTTTCGTCGATAAATTAATTATGTAATCGTTACAGTCGAAATGAATTCAAGCGAGAGAGATTCTTCTCAGATACGAGGTGAACAATGACATTCAGCGGATCGTTACACACGCGCGTTAGATTGCGCGATATATTTTTTATTTTTAAGTAACCGGTGTCGCGTTAATTGCTCAAGTCGGTGAGTTAAAACGACAACCCGCGTATATATTTTATTTTTATATGACGTATTATCGCGATCTTTATTTTTTATGTAGGAAACGGCGTTTTGTTTGCACACGGCGCGTAATGTCTGATGTCAACAAGTTTCGCACCAACAATAATAATAACATGTAGCATGTATTTTTGTACTTACCTAAAACCATTAGACTCTTGTTGATGTTGTTCGCCTCTTCCAGAGTTTTGCCCTCGCTCTGAGTTTTCTTCGTCATCTCGCTCCCGGCGAGATCGACAAAATTAATTTTTCCTTGTTTCGAGATAAACACACCGTTCTCCATCTGTCGCGAAGAGAGACAGAGAGAGAGAGTAGACTCGTTTTAATCTTCGCGACGAAGCAATTTTATTGCGCGACGTAATTAATCGTGAAATCAACGCGAACCGGGGGATAAAATTAATTAATTAATTAATTTTGCCACGTTTCGGGACGAACTTAAATTCTCGTCGCGTTATCTATCGCTCTCTCGCGATTTTCGATATAAAAAATTAATAACTCTCTCGATCGCGCGGACAATGGCACGGGAATTAAATGAGATAAAATTGCGACTTTTGTCGCGACGCTATCTACACGATTTATTATCGCGCGTACATTTGATGCTGCTTTGGTTTTTTTTGTTATCCTTTTCAAGGAAATTACTTGTGCGCTAACCACGAAATTTATCGTAATTTTTTTTTAATACTCACGGCTTGCTCAGAAGTTATGTATACGGTCAGAATCGAGTGACTTCGACTGGAATACTCATTCATATTGTGCGTTCCGATAGATCTGTTTCTCAGTCCTGCGAAAGTGACATAATTTCTGTTTTCTCTCAAAACAATTTGCAGAGATTAATAATTATAAGTTTACGAGTAAATTAATAAAAAAAAAAACCCATTGACCAATATTTTATTATTAATTTAAAGGTGAACTAGAGCACGGTACAGCGAATATATTTTTGGAATTGTATGTAGTTTTCTTTCTCTGAAAAAATTGTTTTGTTTTTTTCTTTTTACCTTCTTCGAGAACCGCCAGAAGATCGTCTAGTTCCTCACACTCCACCGTGAAGAGATTCTCAACAAAAAATCCGCGCGTTTTCTTGCTCCATCGAACTGCTAGTGGTTTTCTCGAGGTGCCGGGATTCAAAAGATCTATCACCTGTTGTTTTTTTGTATGAAATTTAACGCGTGCGAAATAATTGCACTTCGATCATTTATTAAGTGCTTGTGTATTTATCATTTCAAAACGCACACCGACCTTTTCGTTATAGATTTCCAGGAAGGAAGCTTTTAGTACAAAATTGCACTTGTCGTGTTGTTGAAGGACTTTAAATAGGTAGACGAAGGAACGGAAGACCAGGCCGTGGTTCTCCGAGTACGGGTCCATCTTTTCGAACTACGAGTGAGTAACATTAGAATCATCAGAGAATCGCGCGAATTTCAATTCGAATGATTTTTTTTTTTTGCGCAATAAATAAATTTCATCAAAGAACTTCGCACTTCGCTCTACATTTTGTAATTTTGCGCGCGTATTCGGAATTATTCTCCCAATGTTACTGTTCTTTTTTTAATTCGTCCTAAGCATCGCTTTTTTTTTATTCAATGCAAACTTGACCTATCGAAATTCTAATGACGCGTTCTAGTCGCGAGAACCAACACATTACGTGTGACTTAGACGCGTCGCATTATCTTATCTACGAAAGACAATCAACTTTAACCTTCCCGCATCGACTACGTAAAACTATCGATCGGGTAACGTAACGTCACCATATGTTTTACGTATCGCATTGTTCTCTGCATATATGAGCATAGTCGTATTATCGTAAGGCGCCGTTAGAAACAAAAAGAACACCTCAACTACAAACTTTGACAATCAAAGGAACGTTTCTTTTTTTCGAAAACCTTAAAAAAATAATAATAATAAATATAAAAGTATTTCTCAAAAAATAAAGCGATGTTCTCTTCGACAGGCACAAGATAAAAATATGTAAAAAATTTACATCTTGTATATACAAACAAGTGTGAGTCTTTTGTAAAGTCGAAACATGTAAAACAGTTGTTTACAATTTGTCGTGCGAAGAACAGAATTTGTAAAATTGTTTTTTTTTTTGTTCTTAAGATCTTACGAGTCTCGGAGGTCCAGTCAGAGTGTGTGTTTTGCCACTTCCGGTCTGTCCGTAACAAAACACGGTGCAGCTAAATCCTTCCACCGCCATGTCGATGAGATTCTTCATGCCCGAGTGCTGCAGAATGTCTTCTTGCGTGGCGTTAGGTTCGAAAACAACATTGTAGGAAAACACCTTCGGCTTTTTGTCACCGCTGCTCGTAATCGCATCGCACTGCAAAATAAATGGCACTCGAATTGTTTCACCCTAACGCGACCAAAGTGAGTACTATCATCGTACATTATCAATCCAATAACATTGTGCCAAAGAGATATTGCAACAATATATCGATTGATTGGATAGACGATATTAATTTTAAGGATGTAATATAAATATTACTGTCGAGATAATTAAATTTTCGCTCACGTATATTTGCCCGTCGCCCGGAAATTGCACGGCCATTTCATCGCCGGCTTTAATTTCCTTATTACTGAGTGGACGAACTCTAAAGAGGACAAAGCGTTATGTCATTACAATAACTTAAAATTAAATTCGCTCGGATTGCTAGCGTAATGATAATTAGAGAGAGTATTTGCGCTAAATACCTGACGACAACGTTTATGTTGTTCTCTGGAAGCAGATGTTTGGTCGCAATTACCCGCTTGTCGCCGTCAACCAATTTTTCGATGCTACCAATCCTGAAAAATCACGTAAGAAAAACAAAGCGATGATCGTGAGAGATGAATCGCGCGTTACGTTATTTTAAAATTAATTTATTTACGAAAGCAAAATACGTGCAAGTTTTATTTAAAGTTACACACACATTATGCGCGCACACGTCACTTTCTAAAGTTTCTTGTTGTACATATTTTATACGCGGCTCTTATCGTTACACGTTGCTCTTCTATGAAGAGCTGTGGTCTTTCTATTATTAACCGCAATCGCGCCGATCTAATTCCGCAAATTAATGGACGGATTCCCATGAATGTATACGATCGTAGGCGAACGCGTCGATAATACGGAAATGTTCAGTCAATCGTTCGATTGACCCTCAATTCCAAGCGCGCGGCTATATCCTCATTAATTTACGAAGACCCTTTCCCGGATCGAAGCCCGTATCGAAACGCGATTTGATCGCGTGTTTGACCGCGTTATTCGGCGCGCGATTTTCTTTTTCTTCATTGCGAAGTACGTACATCGCGCGCGATATGTGTTTCTCCGGAGACCTTCTTCAATAATTTAGGATCGCAATGTTGGTAAATATCGGATCGTCGGATCGATTGGATAAGCGCGAGATCTTGTCGACGATATTATATTATTTTTACTCAAACTCTTCCTCGCATATCTCCGCCGCAATGAACACACACAGGACGTATTAAACACTCGATATTATACAACATGACCGATAGATAATATGCGCATCAATTAAAGCAATGTGTCTATTTTTGTAGGAACGTGAGTCACTGCGTATGTGTGTGCACACGCACATATGTTCTGCGGTCATATGTCGGATGAAGGATGTTCATCGTTTCGTAGTAATTGTCCTTTCGCACGTGAGAATCTCCGGGACAGTTTTTGCGAGAGTCGATAAACACAAAAGTCGTTCGTTTCCACTTGAAATATTGTTTTTTTTTCTTAAAATATTGTTTTGTCCTCGCGCATCAATCGCAATATCAATCTACTCACGTGTATTGGCAATAGATGATGTGCACATACGCATATTTGCGATAATAGATCTGATTATCACACTTATCGATTGCAAGAACCTTGCCACGCAAACTCCTCGCTCACAGTTGGTAATTGTAATGGTCATTTTGTACAATAATAGACATACGTATTTTGACATATCGCTCACGCATCTCTCTCTTGTATCTGTTTTTCTTTTTTTTCTTTTTGTAGAAACAGAAATGAGTTATTATGTGAGTTATACGCGCCAGGAACCGTGTACTCTGGCAAACAAAGCGGATGAGGCGGCGATTCGAAACGCATCTCATAAATTTTGACCGTTGCAACGAGTTGAGACGGTGCGTTGTCGGAAATCACCGAGAGAGCGTCTACTTCGGCGAGCTGTCAAACGCCACGTGAGATAACGAGCCAGTGAGATTGATATTTATTTTTATGAAGACTGACAAAACTTGTCGACAACAATGTGATGTCACTGTCTCTATTATCAATCTCAACTTTCGCTCATCTCGAAATCCGAAGAAAGAGATAATTTTTATGTTTTCTGTACGCGTTTTATATATATCGGCTATTGTGTGTTTACATTCCGCGATGGGCTTTCATGGTCACGGCGAAAGTAGGTGAGATTAAATTGATGCGCAACTATTAGTCAAATACAATCGCGTGCCGACTGTAAATTCAAAGACTGTAAAAGAGGCGTCGCGCCGCCGCCGCGTGCGATCGACAGCACGCTCACGCAGTAATATTATCACATGAAATATTTAAACATATTATTGCAGTTTGCGTGATACGTGTCGTTTTCTGTAATCGATCAGGAAATACATTCACGAGTCTTTTTTTTTTTTTTGCGCACACGATTTGTACTTAAATATTGTTCATTTGTTAAAAACGGATTTGTGTGTTAAACTAGAAATGCTATTATATTGATAAATATCATATTGTTACGTAGTATCTCGGACATAGTTGTTTTAAAGATCAAATTATATATTAGCTAAGAGATTGTCATAAAATTACAAGTGTGACTTGCAATTTTTAAACTCGTGATTTTATTTACAATTTATTTAAATGTCAAACGCGTGTGGTTTATGTAAATCAAAACAAGTGCAAATTGTTGAACGAGCGACAGACTGAAAGACAACAGTGTCAATGAAATTTTTGTCAACTACGGTTGGGATGTGCGTTATTACGATGCAAACTTACATCGAGTTACTTTCACACGTGTTTTATTCGTGTTTTCCGCGAAAGCGAGCGCAATCGATAAGCGATGTCGAAAGCACGTTACAATATCGCAACCGTCTGCAACTGTCTGTGGCGGCACCGCCGTGTTGTTGTTGTTACGTTACGTCTTATGCACGTGTGTATGTAGATTGTTTTTCGTATCGATGCGCGCGGCAAGCGGTGTTTTCACGGGGAAACCCTTGCGTAAAATAATTGAGCGCGGTTTACCATTACCCGTTTGTTGACGGACGTATCGTGTGTCAGTTTTGTCCTAGATCTTCCGTACGATTTTTCTCAGCGAAAAAAAAAACTATCGATCGGACAATTTCGCAATACCGTGCAACACACGTCGAAATTGCGCTCGCGCGTCTGACAAGTGTCAAAACAAACGTTGGTAAAGATTTTTTTTTTTTCTGAGAAATAGAAGAATTATTTTTCACTACAATAGCTCGTGCAAAATGCGTTCTTGCCCGCTGTTTCTCAACTGATGATTCTTCTTCTTTTTTGTCTGTCGGTTTTTACAATCGGGATTTTTTTTATCTCGACGAAATTTTCAGCGCGTCTGTTGGAACTGTTAGCTGACGGATCTCTTGTGGCGTGAGAAAAAAAATCTATAAATCAATGAAAGTCGCGCTATCTATTCGATTATTCTACGTGTGCCGCGCGCGTCTATCGTTTTGTTATCACGGGAAATCGGAGCGATAAAGCACGAGTAATCGAGGCGAATTCATTTTTCTGTCGCACATATTCGAGCGTGTACAGTAATAACATAGGTGTGCGACACTTTAAGTCACGTACCGATGATTGTCGAAAGTTTTTGTCTCTCGTCGTTGAGAGATTTATCGTCGTCTTAACTAATGACTTCGCTTCATTGTGTTCCACGATATCAAAAATTAATAGAAGATATAACGAAAACAATGTAGATAATTCCGAGTACAGATACATGAGAAAATTGCGAGAAAACACTCGTTACATGTTTGTTGAAAAAAAAAAAAAAAAAACAAATTACTTCAGCGTCTTCTCCGCAATCTCATTTTTTTTTGCACTTATACGAAAGAGACAGAAATCGACGTGCAATTTGCGGATTTCCACCGTCCCGTTCGCGTTCGTCAGTTTTTTTTCTCTCTGACAACGTCGATACATCGATTTTCGATTGCACGTCCCCGACAACAAAGCAAATTTGTTTCGCGGCAATTTCGTCGACAAAATCCAATAATGATTATGCGAAATTGTTGATATATTATTGAGGATATGTGTGCGCGACTCTCTTACGCGCGTCCACGTCCGTCGGATTACAAAATAATTTCTATTTGTATCGTGACAATGCATTACATATCGTCGTTGGGGGCATGAGTTTTATCGCTCGTCAGATGGATTCCCTTCGATAATTAACTTTCTGACGTAACGAGATAAAAGTTTTTATTTCCAGACTAATTGGAAATTCTCATTGCCCTCCCGGGCAAATTAGTATTTATTTTTCTCTCTGTCCGCTTTTATCTGTGTCATTTATCTCTTTCAAGTTACTAATACATATTTATTTTTATTACACGTTTGTCCGCAATAAATGAATCGCACGCTCAGTTTGTTTGGAATAGCTTTCGGAAATCTTTTTACAACACGTCGCGTCAAATATATCAAGTAAACAAATTATTTCATCTTTTATATTATTTTTTAAATAAATTATTTGTTTTATCGTGGATTTGTACGTGTGTTATAATCGAAGTTCACAGAGAGACGGTGAAAATCTCTCAAGGGGATATGCGTGGAATCTTCAAAACCAATACTGTCAGGCGACAGAAAGAAGAAACAGCTCGGTATTTAGAATTCAAACGCAAAGCGATCCAGATCGATTTGCAGTGCGCGTTCATTCGTTTTGACGGCTTGCTGCTGGCAAGCAAGGTAAAGCGCGTATATAGATTGTACTCACTCGTTGCCTCGCGAGTGCAACAACGCACTTTTCCCCTTTCCTTTGCCATGATCGGAGCCACCACTTTTTCCTGGACTACTTCCTCGGGAACCAGTTTTATCGCCGGGACTGTTCCCGCGCGAACCTCGACCTCCTCCTCTTCCTCCTCGTCCTTTCGATTTCTGGTTCTTCCCATTTTCTCGTTGGGGGCTCGGGCCACGTGTCGGGGACGGATTTTTCACCAGCACCATCCGTCAACCTGTTCCCCAAAAATCCGATTTCTCGCAAATTTTACTCTCAAATAATTGTCGGTTCGAAATGGAAAATTTGTTAAATTTTAAAAATATTGTCGAGAGAATATACACACAGATATATAATACACACGATTGTTAATTAAGATACAGGAATATTGGGGGATAAGCAAACGATTCAATATTTGTTTCTATCTCTCAGAAATTTTTATCACCGGTGATAACCGCGCGATAAATTTGAAATGCGAAATATATAGTTTTGCGATCACGTACGTACGCGACTATTCAATAGTACTATTCGATAGTCGGCTAATGACATACGAGAATTTCGTGCTTTTCGCTCGATTCGATTGCGAGTTCTCGCTTCGTTTCGCTCGCTTAATGATAATTAACTGATTAATCGCAATTAAAGCGAAAGCTGCCTCGACGAAACTTTCAGAATTGATTGAAGCACGCGTATGAACACCGTTAAAAAACATTTCCAAAACGTAATTTTGATAAGCGCATGTTTATAAACATGGTAAATGAGAGATAAGTATCAAGATGCGGATATTCGTGTCAACAAATGCAACGCGCAAAAATTAATTTTAAATTACACGCGAAGCAAGTTGACCGTGAGAACTTTGAGATAATCAATTTAATTCGATTTGTTGATTTTATCTTAATTAGAATTTTATATAGAATTTTAAATAGAATTTTAAATAGAAAATAAAATGAAAAAGTATAAAAAAAGACATGTCGAAAATAAAACACCTAGTGAGCATTGAAATCACCGGCTCTTGAATCGATTGTTAATTGACGACGGGCAGGTAGATTCGAAGAACGGATGTTTCACTTACGACATTGTTGTTTTCGACCATCAGGTTTACTTGCTATTGTCAATAACCAAGTATAAAAACAATGTGTTTTTCCAGCGTAGCGAAAACTTTTATCTCTTCTTCTAATAGAACACGTAGGACATATCTTTCATAATTCAAGAGAAGCGCTTAGAGCGCTTATTGAACTGAACTTGAATCCTAACGCCGTGACGTCCGATAGTGTATAGTCCACCGAACTAATAATGTTGCGTTTACTTACATTCGCAGTTTCATGTATCGTCCGGAAAAATTCCTGGGATCAAGACCGCAACACCACCCCCCCGCGAACTTGCTCAAGTCGACGAGTCACGTTTATTGAATCGTTCGTGGAATTGACGAAAGAGAAGCGCGAGACTTGTGTGTCAACGACTCGATCTGGCTCGAGATAACATTCGCGGACGATAAAAAAAACGACTCGCTCGCTCGGGCTGCGTGGCAGCGGCAACAACCACCGGCGCTGTACTGCCACACCACCCGGAGAAGTGAGTCTTGAACTCTACACACAGAAGCGGACAGTCGACAACGACGACGACGACGGGGGGTAGCTTTTCCTATAGTTGGTGTCGCGCGACCGATCGAAATAAAGCGCGGGTTTTTGCTCGTCACAACACCACCGCTATTATCATCGCCATTCCGCTGTCACCCTCGGCCGGCTGCAGCACGGTCATCGTCCACGTGGACTTAGACGTTACATCACCACGAACTTGAGATCGACAACAATGACGAAAACGACGTTGTCGATCGACGTCTGTCACAGAAAAACATTATTGACACGCGTTTGTTTTATTCCAATTCATTAAGTTGATCAATTTCGTGATATTGTATATTGAATGCGCATGTATGTGCATACACTTGTTATTTTTTAAATAAAATAAAAATTAGATTGCGTAATTTTTGTTTTGCAGAAGTTATCGCACACACACAGCGAAATTAGTCGTTTGGACGGAAATTTGATGTTTCGGAAAAATGGATGATGGATGACGATAGCTGTCACCGGGATTTCCGATACTAAATTTCCGGCTATGCATTACGAGGTTGATTGCGTTCGATTATAAGAGGGTCATTAGGCATCGCATCGACAAGAGAGGAGCGCCCTTTTACCCTAGATGCATTACTGTCCAAAATAGATCTTCTATACTTTGCATAATAACGCAGATTGCACACTTTACTTCGAGCATCTTGTACTTTTCTAACGGGTAAGAACTCTTTTCTCGCGAACTATATATTCCAATTTTCTAATTTATTTATTATACATACGTTATACAACGTGTTGGTAATAATTTATTTATATATTCGTTTTTACACGATGATCTTTTATATTATTATTTGTTTATTATTTAAGAAAAAACACATTTGATAGCGCGCGACTTTGAATTTCGAACAAAAACAGCGAACATAAAACACAGAATACATAAATAAAAATAACGATATGATAATTTAAATACGAAGGGGAACAAGTTGACAAACCGGGAGGATGTTACAACCGCCACGCCACGGGCTGCAAGAGCCCGAAAACCTACCGAAAAACTCACGTGGCCCCGTGGAGGAACCCCGCGGGGTTCACACATCGCAACCTCGCGTGTATTTACACGCGCACGCACACCGAGGAAAAAAATCGCCTCTCTCCTTCGGCGTAAGTCGTTCGGCCGGCTGCCTTGTCTGCGCCTTCCTTCCTCTCCACCGCTATCATCACGAGGGCACCGATGAGGAGAGCTCCTTCAGCAGATCGGCAGTTTCGTGCGTTACACCGTGGCGTGTGCACGGGAACCACACACATCACGCGCAACGTGCAACAAACCCCGCGTGTAAAGCAAACCATCGGACCTCTTCTTTTTTTTTTTTTTAACAACAATCACAGTTTTTTTATGAGGTACGTGAAACTTTTTACGTGGTAAATCGCACGTAGACAATCAAATTTGCCAAAAAAAAAAAACTGTGAATCCTATAATTTATTCGAAGTGACTTGCCGATAGGTGACCTGACCGCGACGTTATGGATAAACGCGCCGTGCTTCTGGACTCCACGAGCCGCCGCTAAAACTCGAGAACGAGAGTAATACGACGTGCCGCGAACGAAAGTGAGTACTCTTTGTTTTTTTTTTCAAGCGCAATTTGTTACAACAGCCGATTTACACGGTCACGGTTGAAGACAAGAAGATGAAAAGACAGGGAAAGAAAAGGCGAGAGAAAGAGAAAGAGAGAGGAAAATGCAGGAGAAAAATTTATTTTCTTCTATTTTATTTTTATTTTTCATTCTAGGCGGTTGTTTCTTTTTCGGTTGCAGTAAATTAACTGGTTTTATTATTATGTGATAATAATAATTAATGCGTTAGGGTTAAATGACCATGTTAGTAGCAAATTAACAAGTAATTTAGATATTTGGTGATATTATAGATAATGTTTAATTATGATCGCATAATTTTCAATATCTTATAATGAAAACAACGTGAGAGAAAGAGAGAGAAAAAGAGAGAGAGAGAGAGAACGACTAACTATCAAACAATGTCTATATATATCCAATGTTATCCGCTTGATATTTAAAACATACCCATAGGATTTGAAAAGCGCTTGTTTCAAATGTGCGTGTGTGTCTCTCACACATGTGAAAAACACCAATTGCAATTTATATCACTGACAACTGTACGTGAGTCGCAAGAAAGAAATCACAACCGGCTCTCGCGGCCTTTTTATCCTAAAAAAAGCCGCGCACACACACGAAAAAGTTGCGCGGCAGCTGTTGCGATACCGACTAGAGGAATTATTACGATCCACACAGATTTGTGTGTAAAAAAGTCATATTTCCCAGAGTCTCATTTATACCGAGCATGAGTCTGAGACTCATCATGTCGTTTGTCATCGTGATGGCGTTCGTTCGTTACACAACGCGTGCTATGTTGTTTCAATCATTCGTGTAATAAAAAAGAGTATAATTCTCCACTTCCCATCGCAACCTTATTCCGCGTCCGATCGCGTGTAGCAGAAGCGGTTCGAAGAAGCAGCTGTATCGTTTCGCTTCGAACAAAGGTTAACGGTTTTTAACCGCTCTGATGAAGACGTCATTGGTCTGCCAAGGCAATTTCGTGTTGTCCCTACTGCATTTTAAGAGCGATTCGATCTTTTAAAGAGCCACTCGCTCGAGTTTAATCGACAAGCACTCGACCGACCGCGACATTTCCAACGTTACACTCGACGATCCGCGTTCCTTTTTTTTTCTTTCGCTTTTTTTTAAGAAAATTCGACGGAAAGTTTCGATTTTACTTTTCCAAACTTCAATTATTCCACTTTTTGTTTAAATTTACTTAGCCAGTTAGAACGAAGGAAGATAAAAAATTCCGTTGTGGAAAACGCAACGTTTTTTGAAATTTATTTCTCTGAATTAATTTTTTGCATTTTATATTTACTCGTCGATTTATTGTCCGCACGCAATTGGGATCTATATAATTCTGTTACGCAACAAGAACGAGTTATCGAGAGACGATCTCCGCCGCGCCGGATTTTTACGCAAGTCGGGAGGGAGGCGGGAAGAGGAAATGGTGGAAATTATGGTTTCAAATCAAATGGATCGTAAAACTTTCTACGATTGTCACGGAGGAAATTCCGCGTATAGGATGCTAAGTTAATGGCGCGGAATTATCTTCCTGGAAAGTGGCGTAGTGTTGTTACACGGCGGCAGAGAAACACAGAGAGAAGCGGCGCGAGAATTCAAGTCGTCGTCGGTGCATTGTTGTCGGCCCCGGCGAGTTTCTTGGTCCCGTGGGACCCTTGGATTTCTTTCGACGTTACACGCGCGCGCGCGACAAAAGGGGGGACTCGAAGAGAGGAAATGAGAGAAAGCCGCGACCTTCCTTCCTCTTCGGACAAAAGAGCAGACTTCGATCCCCCGTAATCGTGGAAGTGACAGTCGAATCGCTTTTTTAACACAACGCGGTGATATTAAACTACAGAGGAAAAATTGTTTATATATATCTGATTTTTCTCTCTTTGTTTCAGATACGTACGTTTCGCATTCGCGCGTACATTTCTCACGTGATATTTCACCGATACGGGTGTATCGGTGACAAAAGATATGGAAAATAAAAATGTGGGACATTTAGAAAGAAAAACAATTTATAAGACAAAGGAAATATTTGATCACGAGTATCGAATACAATGTAGCCCCGTTGCATGTGCGTATGAAGTTCTCTGATCGCTCGAAGCGCCAGAAACAGAATCTACACACCCCGCGCAAAGTTCAAGCTTTCGTCTCTCTGCGGATAAGAGGTCGTACGTAGAAAGCGCCGTGTGTGCGCAAAGAATTATAACATCAGAAATTCATTCGCGACACGTCAAATGGAAACCGCGACATTAATATTAAAGAAGAAACTATAAAGAAACAACAAACAGTTTTCGCTTAGCGAGCGATAGAATCGCGGTATCGCTCGGCGATCGCGAAAAACCAGCGCAACCGAGCAATTGTGCGGCGAGAGACCGTGTAAAGAAACCGTGAGCAGGGTTGAGCGCGTCTGTTTCCCAGAAAGTGCGTATTTAGTGCGGCGTGTGAGATCGCGAGCGAGCGAGCGAGCGGATGCGAGAACCGGAGCGCGCGCGGTCAAAAAAGCGAGAGTTATACTTATACATAATTTTTTTTTTCCCGCGAGCGAGCGCGGATCGAATCGATTCATCGCGATATATAGGAGGCAGCTTTCAATCCTGCTTGTTCCTTAATTAAAAAGTCGCACGGTCAAATCGATTAAACTTGCAAACTCGCATCGCGCACTGCAACTCAAATCGCGCACATATTACGTTTTCTCTCTAACAAAGCACGTCGTTGTGGAATTTGAATACGAAAATTTTGGAAAAGAAGGAGATACTTGAAAATTAAAAAAAAAAAAAATTAATCGGAGCGGCGCCGAAGAAACGTTTGCGAAATCGTATATTCGCGATTTGATATTAATAAAAAAATATATGTACGCATTATTGTTCGGCTCTTTTATCAATTCTTTTTTCAAACTCTCAATTTTCAACCATATATGGACTCGGTTACGGTGCGCTTTCGGTATATAAAAGCGAGTTTTTCAGTTCCCTCTCGAACCGGCTTTCCTTTCCCGGTTTTGCCCCGTCACGTTTTTTTTTTTTTTACGTTCTTCGTACATAAAACGCGTGATAATAGCGTTTTAATTCGCCCTGACATTTCACGGTTCGCGAATATACGTGCTCGCGTGAGCACGGTCCGCCAATTAACTAGTTCGCACGAGCGTTGTTACGTAACGTAACAGAACGAAAAATTCGTTCGTATCCTGCCGCGCGGCAGGATTGACGTCCGAATTTCTCGCAAAACGAGTTTCCGAGTCTCTCCACCTGTGGAGAGTCGCGGTGTTTTTCTTCTTCTTCTTCTTCTTCTTCTTCTTCATCATCATCCGGAATAATTAAAAAATTATCGGTGCGCCCGACCGACCGACCGATCAACCGACGTGTGGCACAACGACGGTAGCATTGAATTTCCGTCGAGATATCTTATTACGGAACGACGACAACGGACGACGACGAGTCAATATCCAGATCAGCGACTTTCCGAAATTATTTATGCGTCAGCGCTTTCGACGATTTTTCGCGCGGAAATTATTAACGATTCGGCGATTCTCTTTCGCGTGAGAGCCGCGAGTGTCTTTTCGTAAAATTTATTTACCCGACTAAGTCGAGTGAAAAAAACGGAACCGAATGTTAAATGACGTTCTTGAATTTAAATTCAATTTTAATTTTATTTGCCCAAATAATTTTACGTAATTGTTAATTATCAAAGTTTCGAGAAAACGCAAAATTGCGTTCGTATCCTTTGATGAAATTGTTGAAACAGACCGTGAAGTTTAATGATTTTTCGGCGTCTTTTTTCGCGAGAAACAAAGCAACGAACTGAACATTAGAGTCCGATACGCGCGAATGTTGTGATGCAAATAATTTTATTTAAAAAAAACATGTAAAAATTTCGTTTCTAGTCAACGAATTGAATAAAATCCTTCTTTTCACGGACACTCAACTTCTTCGCCTCGTGCGTGGACTTTTACGCGCTCGAGTCGATGGAGAGAAGCGGCGGCCGAAAATAGATCGGCGCTTATACTTTAAGAGTTCGCCGATCTTTCTCCGCCCGTGTGTGTATATACTCTCGTTTCCTCGTCTTCTTTTTATTGTCCTCTCACCTTCCGTGACGATTCCGCTCCCGTGACTGGTTTATTATTACACGCGCGGCACTTCGACCGTCTTCTCGCGCGTTCTTACCGCACGGACTTGCCCGCGCGAAAACGGAACTTATTATTAAAGCTCTCTCTCTCTCGTTGTACTATCGCGAACAAACACCTTGAAAACCCTGAACTTCGGGAACCGAGAAAGAGAGAACGAGAAAGAGAGAGAGAGAAAGAGAATGACCAAGACACTCAAGGTCGGTCCGAATCCGAACCGGTTTTCTCGAAGAAGAAGATTTGATGAGGAATATCTATGTAAGATTCTCCACGCCTCCACAATTATAAATCCGCTAACTAACAATAAAAAATTATAAATACTTCGAGCAAAGTGTATCGCGCGTATTGTCTACTACAAGAGATTGATGTGTTTTATTTAAGTATTTTTTTTCTTTTTATTAAATTACAAAACAAATAGTCCAGCTACTGAAAACCAGGCGTGCGCGCAAAATATATTTCAAGCGTGTAACTTAATACACATATAATTGAACATTTATAATGCACGTAAAAAATATTGTTGTGCAATAAAAAAATTGGAAAAACTATCGCGTTGAATTGTTTTTGGAAAGTCTTGCACAGCCAAAAACGTTGTTGACGTTGTTGCACAACAATAACGGAGAAGCGTGGAAGAAATAATTGTACAATAAATAAAAAAATTGTACAATAAATAACAAATAATAATAAATTGTACAATAAATAACAAATATCTTCTTTTCAGTTGGTTCGCGCAGAAAACAGCGTGTGTATATATATATGCGCCATGAGGTCCGCGTAAATCTTATGTAGTCACTGGCAAGTGCAACCTGCGTGAAACTGCTAACAGTACAGCGAGCAGTACAAGGATGAAAAGGATGGAGGAACACATAGACACACACAGGAAATGTCGCCCGGTGTGCCTCCTTTTGTATATTATAGCGAGATAAGGGCCGCTTTTACTATGCGGGCTTCGTGCGATAACGGAACGTGTACGCTCCGGAAATCGCTCATCGGCGCCGATCGAAACGCCGCGTCGTGCCACGCGACGCGTTTTATAATTTTCAGAGCGTGTGTGCCGCGTATATACGGAACGTCAAAAGAACAAAGGAACGCGTTCTAGTGTGTGTGTTATTATCCCGTTAAAAAAAAAAAAAAATTATATACTCAATCAACGAATTGGAAGAGAAAACACTGTTCTCGTTAGAGACAAATTAATTCAAATTTCTCCTCCAAATCGAGCGATTTTATGTATTTTATACCGCGTTTTCGCGCTCGCGGACGTAAAATTGTCGCGTACACTTTTCCGTCACTTTTTTTCCGTCATAAAAAGTTGCGCGAGCGCTCATTTCGCTGTTCGGCTCGCTCCGGAATATAAAAATTTGCGAGAAACGACCGATCTCTTTGCGCGAAGTGAAAACCCGCACACGTTTCCCGTCGTCGTCGGGAACGAGAGAGTCGACAAAAGGCCAACCGGTTTCCGGAAATGGGGTTGCTTCATTTCTTAACGCACAACGTTAAACAAACAACGTGTGCGAGAGAAAATTTAAAGAAGTTTAACAGTTTTATCCGACGACTGATTGATTGATTTCTTGTACATCATTAGCAAAGAGATCTTCCTGCAAGTTCGTTAATTAAATTCGCCGGCTTGCGAGATGAGTTTCACGTTCAAAAAGCAACACATCTGGTTCCAAACTCGGAAATAAAAGCAAAGTAAGTTTTCAATTCTCGACGGGTTCCTTTCGCGATGCAATTTTTTTTTCCGTGAAACATCTCGTCGGGAGTATCTCCGCCGCGCATGTATTTTCGGACGTGGAGTCATCGTCACACGTTAGACGACCTCCCATTGAAACGTTTGTGCGAATTTTTTTTATTCATCGAGCATCTCTGCGCGGGCTCTAAAGACCCCCTCGGTTTTTCCCCTCGACGACCGATCGCTCAACGCTCTACCGCGTCATCGTCGTTCCCGACTCCCCCCGGCGGGTGCGGGAAAATGAAAACGAGAGACAACTTTCCGTTTTGCGGCGAATGTTTGCGCGCACGCGTGGAATAAAAAGTGTATCGATTCGGATCGGTCGGGGCTTCGATATCTCGAGGAAACTCCCCGGTATGTAGTTTGTTTCTCGAAGAAACAATCAGCTATAAAAAAAAAAAAAAACTACTGTATTTACAAAGTTGTTATTATCAAAAAAAACAAAAAAAGTACAGAAAGAAAAATCGAACTGTGAAGAAGAGTTGAACTTCTCGCTCTCTATCTCTTTCTCTTTTTTAGCTTATTTACTGCTGACGGACACGACACCGTTTTTTTGACACCGATAGCCGAGAAGCCGCCCACAATGAAGGCTTTTGTGTTAGCGCTGCGATTGATAATTCCCTCCTCGCCTTGCAACCGGTGTTATTGTACACAAGAAGGAGGGCGACGATTGTTGCTCAGACACAGAGAGCGCTTGGGTCTGCATTCATAATACCTTCTTCGAATACGTTCACCAAGGCGAGGGAAATTACTCATCGAACTCTCCAAGGTTCACGACCGGACTGTCAATGAGTCAGATCCGCGAGATTTTTCGCATCTGCGTTCGAACGAGAGAGAGGTAGAGAGAGAGAGAAAGACCGGTTTGTGTGTGCGCGCCACAGACAGATAAACGCCGTTTAATTATCGACCCTCGGAGAAGCTCGGCGGAGATCATTACTAACGCACGTTTTCTCAGTTTTTTGCTCGGAAATCTCTTCTTTGTTGTTTAAAAAATTACTTCGTACTTAGAAATAAAAAAAAAAAAATGTTTTTTTAATTTTGTAGGTTCGCGAGACATTTTCAGATCCCGTATATGTTCGTGGAAGAGAATAAATTAATTGATTTGTTTTTTTTTTAATCTTAATAAATTTGTTTTATATAATTTTTACCGATGACCGAGTTTGACACGTGTATTTCGGATTTGCGCGTTTCGAGAATCGATCGATTCGCTCGAGAGAGATTAATGCGACGCGATTAACGCAATACACCCCGTAAATCCCCTCCGTCGCGATAACAATTGCACGCGAGAAATATCGCGCGATCGAATCTTCGTACGTAATATAATTAGAACAAGAGGAGGAAGGCTCGTGATTATTTCTATTAATTTTTTGCAAATCTCGTTACGTGCGTGTGTGTGTGTGTGGAAAGAGAATGACTTGAGATTAGATTAGATTACGCGAGAAACTCTTATCGCTGCTTTTTATCGATTAAAAACCGCGCCGATTAATCGGCAATTGGATTTTCGACTTGTTTCGAAACATAACCGAATTGTAATTCGTTCAATCGAGAGATCTCGCGGGATTGTACTCGGCGATAACTCGATACGCTCGATTTGCGCAAAGAAACGCATTTAGGATTTTGTAGTTAAACGTATTTTTATAGTTAAAAAGTATGTGTAAAGTGCGTTGTGTAATCGTTACGCAACAACAGAGTTTTATACACTTTTTGCTTTTAGACAAAAACTGGTGTGCGTTTAAACGAGAAAGTCACGATATACATGTGATTATTTGTCGGGACAAGTAAAGCAAAATTTCGAATGCACGACGCACATTCGAAGATTCGTATTAGTATTATGCAATTTTCCTCGTGTAACAAAATTATCTCAGGTCTCCAGGATGCAATAGACGAGACGCGAAGTGTTACGTGCCCTGAATAGCCACGTAACGAATAAATAAACGCGGCATATTTTCTGTGATTCGCTCTTTATTATAATCTGAGAAGTGGCGTTGCTTTGTCTTAAGCCGCGAACGATAACTGACTCGTCTTAAAACCAAAACGTGTGAGCTAGACCCTCGTTCCTGGAGGCGTGATATTTGTCTTTCGGCGAGTCATAAGAGTTCATACGAACGGACAACGGGAAGGAATTCAGGGAGATTGTTTGTTAAGAGAGGAAGTTTATCGGATTGTGTTTATTAGTTTATAAATTTCGACAGTTTATTATATAGTTAGGGTTTCGAGACGGGTCGTATGTGCCGATGATGGAAGTAGATAAAATCTTAAAGACAGAAACGGGCACGTAACAGAAGTTTTGGTTTGCATCTCGTTTGACTTATAGGATTTTTTACTTCAAAGGCGAATTTTCTTTTTTTTTTTTTTTCGATGCGTTTTGCTGTTACAGGCGGTTTCGTTCCGCTATCAGTCGTGCGGATAACAAGAGGATAACGATGTTAAGGCGGGGGAGAGAGGGAGGAAAAGAAACGTCGCCGCGACGAGCGATGTGGCGGTCGGGATGTGCGGTGGTCACTTTTGAGTAGCAGTCGCAGGTGGTTCTTTCGCGGTTGGCAGCGTGTCAAATCGAACTTCTCTCGCGGTGATATATTCTCGTGGCTAGCTTAGCGCCGGAAAAGCAATACCGAACGAAATCTGAGGCATATCGATTTCTTTGCATTGTTCGTTATCTGTTCTGTAATTGTCGGATACGACGGTTGACTGTCTTCTCTCTACCTGGTGTCTCGCGAATTTTCCAGTTGAGTTTGTTTTTTTTTTTTTTCTACCCACGTGAAAAAAAAACAAACAAACAAAAATGTAAAACGCGTTGTTTAACTTGAAGAAAGCAAGTGAACGCGTTACTTCTCTCTCTCTCGCTCTCTCTTTCTCTCTGTTAAGTGCGGAAAGTTTTATTTTTCGAATAAAATTTATCGAGAAGAAAACAAGTGTGCGGATACGTTTTTATTGCTGCGAGAAGTGCATTGAAGGAAACGAATGCGCGCATCAATATTGAAGATAGCAACGCGCTGATTAGTGTATTAAAAAAAGAATCAGAGAATTTAGTGCTAAAAATACGTAGGATCGAAATTTTCTTGAGAACTGAGAGAAACTAACGCACACGATATTGTTTAAATTAAAATTTGTGACTTTTAGCTCGAGATTTTCAATTGTTGATATCGGACGTTTCTTTTTTTTCAAGATAATTTATTTGTTACATTGCTCAAAGAGACGACGTTATCATCTGTTATCTCGCAGATCGTTGAAATAGTTCGTTAGACGAACAACACTCGAGAAATGCAATAACAATTCCAGTAGAGCTTAGATTTTTCAAATTTTTTCGTTTCCGCGATGTTTTCTCGATAAAAAAACGAAACATATAAAGAAAACGTTCGAGATTATCGAGTTTACTTTGCGAATTTTCAATTGATCTGTTAAGCAACATATCTTTTCCGCACCGGAATTCGCAATATCAGATGTGATGTGCGAACTCACGTTCTATCTTATCTATAGGCGAATTCGCGTTTATCTCAACCAGGTAGCGAGGAACCTAGACCGAGTCGAATTCGCAAAAAAACAATTTACAATTATGCCGCAACGAGGATAATCCTGTCTATTGTTTTTTTTTTTTTTTCACTTCCGTCACAGGTGCCGCAGGGTTACATGAAACATGGGGTGAGTTTGAATATTCGTTGGCCAATGTATGTATCCGTTCGTTTTCGTTTTCGTTTGCCGTTTCGAACACCGCAAACCGTTCGAATATCTAATCTGAGTCTTTATCGTTCACGAAGTCGCGAGGCCAAGTAGAACGACTCCGTGTGCATTCGCCGCCTGCATAAGTAAATGTTCAATGCCACTTATCGTGATACTTAAGACAAACAATTGTAATTACCGCCAGCGTCATAAGCAAATATTTTGCTGCGTTTAAAAAGAGATTCCAGTAAGAAAAGAAAAAAAAGTTAACGTGACATATATATACTATAAGTGACATATATATACTATTTCAAATATTCAATCAAATTTAAATTAGTTTCAGAATTATTGATATTATTTTTGTGTAAAATAAGCAAATTTTTGACGACCGACGTTTGTTACGAAAGAGAATTGTGACGTTATAATTTTTCACATTTCTGTCGTGGATATTTGCAGCGCGGAGACACTCGACACAGGGGGTGACAGACCCACCGGCCCGAAACCACCGGAAATCCTCAATCGCGGTCAAAAATTGCTCGGGAAAATGGAACGCGGACTGCACGAGCGCGACCGAGTCGGCGTGCAGGACTTCGTCCTGCTGGAAGACTTTCGCAGCGAGGCCGCGTTCATCGACAATCTGCGCAAGCGATTCAAGGAGGATCTTATTTACGTGTGTAAAAAATGCATGTGTACAATTTGTCTCGTTGTTGAATCTATGAACCACTTTTGCTATAAAAAAGTTTTTTTCCGACGTTTGCAGACGTACATCGGTCAGGTGTTGATATCGGTAAATCCGTACAAGAACTTATCTATTTACAATCCGGAAATTATTCAGTATTATCAGAAGAAGAACTTCTTCGAGGCGCCTCCTCACATGTGAGTATCGTCTTGAATTCGTTCCGACATGAACGAAAATTCGCGAGTAAGAAATCTCGTCTTCCAAAATGTCTCGTGGAAAAAAACCCCCCAAAAAAAAACTTGCTGGAAAATTTTCATAATTTACATTCGAAGTTTTTCACACTCGCAGTTTCGCTCTTACGGACACCGCCTATCAATCTATGACGGAGGAAAATCGCGATCAATGTATTCTGATCTCAGGTACGAAAGATCTTACTTACATATTTTATATAAAAATCGATTTTTTCGAATAAACATTTAAATTTTTATCAGCCTTATCAGCCGCATTGTTTCTTTTTTTTTTAACATCGAGATTTTTCTTACGTTTGCGTTAAAGGCGAATCGGGATCCGGAAAGACCGAAGCGTCCAAGAAGGTATTGGAGTTCATTGCGGCCGCTACTGGACACAAGAAACAGGTGGAGGAAGTAAACGACAAACTTATCGGCAGTAATCCTGTGCTGGAAGCCTTTGGCAACGCCAAAACCAATCGTAACGACAACTCCTCTCGCTTCGGCAAGTACATGGACGTGCAGTTCAATTTCCAGGTAAAGTGTCGATATTTAACTTCGAATTGAATTTCAATTTCAGAACACATCAAGCGTTGCATTAAATAACATTGAAATCCGTAGGGAGATCCAGTGGGTGGGAATATTTTGAACTATTTGTTGGAAAAATCTCGAGTGGTTCATCAATCGACGGGTGAGCGCAATTTCCATATTTTCTATCAGCTTCTGGCAGGCGCGGACGACGACGCGTTGCGACGGCTGTTCCTCAAAAGAAACCTCGACACTTTCTTTTATTTAAGCAACGGTGTAAGTAATTCTATTTTTTGTTCTGTGTGTTTGTAACGTGTGTGTGGATTGGAAGTTTTTCTCTCTCTTCGATTTTAAACATACCTCCTCGTTTCGTCTCAGACGAAAGGCACGGTAGATACTATCGACGATACGAACAAGTACAAGGAGGTTGTTCAAGCAATGAAGACCATGGAGATGTCTCAACAAGAACAAGACGACTTGTTCGCTATAGTCGCTTCGGTGTTGCATATGGGTAACGTGGGTTTCTCAGAAGAAGATGGCGTGGCGACTATTTTAAAACCAGCATCCGTTGACGCTGTTGCTAAGGTAAATTTATTTTTTGAAAGTCAATTTGATTATAACTGAAATAACTATATATATTCTTAAAACGTTTTTTTTTTTGTTTAATTATTATAAATTATTTCCAATTATTTTCTTACATATAATAATTCTACACGCGCGTTCTCTCGACGTTTTCTTCTATTATTTTTTTTATTTATTCTTTCGTGTAAATACCTACGCAAACAGCTAATATTATTTCTTAAACAGCTGCTAGGATGTAACGTACAGCGACTGGCAAAAGCATTCACTCATCGCACCATAGACGCTCACGGTGACGTAGTGGTTTCACCCTTGAATAGGGAATTAGCTATTTACGCGAGAGACGCGCTAGCGAAGGCCGTGTACGACAGATTATTCACCTGGCTCGTGACCAGACTCAACAAGTCCCTACAACCTCAGATCAATCCTCACCGCAAAATGGTCATGGGCATTTTGGATATCTACGGTTTCGAGATCTTTCAGAAGAACAGGTAAGGAATAAGGATAATTTGTATTCACATAAAAAGTATTTTTATAAATTTACATTACATTATCTCTCACGTGTATTTCATACTTTATAATATTTTTATTTGTAAAAAACCAAAATTCTATTATCAAAAATGTGGCAATTCTTTTTCTGTGACATTCTCAAATTCCTTATCTACTTTTCGCCAATGCGATACACACACTTCATCTCATTTGTTCCATAGCTTCGAACAGTTTTGCATCAACTTCTGCAACGAGAAATTGCAACAGCTGTTTATCCAGCTAACGCTGAAGCAGGAGCAGGAGGAGTATCTGCGCGAAGGAATAGCTTGGGAAAATATTGAATACTTCAACAATAAGATCATCTGCGACTTGATCGAGGAGAAGTACAAAGGTTTGAAACTTTTTTACAAAAAAAAAAACTCCGCGCACAAAACATTTGACCATTTATGTTGCGTCTGCGATTATTAAATATATGTATATATATATATAATTCGACATTTGGACGCGACAGGAATTATATCGTACATGGACGAGGAGTGTTTGCGACCCGGAGATCCAACGGACATGAGTTTCTTAGAAAAATTAAATGTGAATCTGAACAATCATCCTCATTATATCAGTCACAAGAAGTCGGATATTCAAACGCAAAAAATCATGGGTCGAGATGTAAGGACTCTGTGTATTTAATTTAATTATATATATATATCTGTGTCTGCAAAATTATTTCGAGAAAAGTAAATTGCGTTTGAGTTGCTTTAAATTTATTTTCTTCCGTGTGTCTTACTTATGTGATCAAAAAAAAAAAAAAAGAAATTGATTGTCCACTTTAATTATTTTATGAGAGCGACGAACATAGATAAGTCGATTATTTCAGGAATTCAGGTTGGTGCATTATGCCGGTGATGTAACGTACAACGTGCGCGGATTTCTCGAGAAAAATAATGATCTACTGTTTCGTGATTTACGTGAAGTTATGTCGCACACAACAAATTCCATCACGAAGGTAAGAATTCGATTGCATCTCGTGTGAAAAAAAAAAAAAAACCGTTGCAAAGCTAAGATCTCTTTAAATTGTTTCTATTTGTGCAAATTTCTTTTTTGATGCTGTATCGCATTTTCGGCTGGTAAATTATTTGTTAATTAATTGAAACAGGCTGTGTTCGATATAAAAAAGGACTTGATCAGCAAGAAACGTCCGGAAACCGCTATAACTCAATTCAAAAATAGTTTGAACAATTTGGTCGAGATCTTGATGGGCAAGGAACCGTCCTACATTCGCTGCATCAAACCCAACGACTTTAAAATGCCCAGTAAGTGGAACTATATTTAAAGATCAATTATTTCTTTGATAATCGTAATGTTTTTTTTTGTATCGAGACGAAATTCATCAAGATTTTACTCTCAGATCAATTCAACGAAAAGATCGTGCTGCATCAAGTGAAGTACTTGGGCCTGATGGAGAATCTGCGGGTGAGACGCGCCGGTTTCGCGTATCGAAGACCGTACGAACAATTTCTGCAGCGTTACAAGTGCCTCTGCTCCGAAACCTGGCCAAATTATCACGGCCCCGCCAAGGACGGCGTCCAGGTGCTCGTGTGTCACCTCGGTTACGAGAGCGACGACTACAGGATGGGCAAGTAAGAAACACTCTACACATGTAAATTCTCTCTATGCTTTCTTAAAAACTTACAAATCCTTTAATATATTTTGCGATTTTACATTCCAGCACGAAACTGTTCATCCGATTTCCCAAGACGTTATTTGACACGGAAGACGCGTTCCAAAGAAAGAAACACGATATAGCCGCGATTATCCAGAGCAAATGGAAGTGCATATTAACGAGAAGAAAATATCTGAAGATGCGAGCTGCGGCGATTACTTGTCAGAAGTACATTCGCAGATGGCTCGCGAAACGCGAAGCGAAAAAGCGGCGGCGCGCGGTTGTCACTATTCGCAGGTATTTTCGACGTTTACCTTTGTTGCGCTTGCATATTTTTTAATTTATTTTATCTCACGCCAAAACAATTTCGTCGATTTTTGTGCAGATTTATCGAAGGTTTTATCACACGAAACGGACCGCCGACCGAGATCAATATGGCGTTCATCGAATTAGCGAAGTCGCAATGGCTCATTAGACTCTCGAAATCGCTGCCACCGGGTGTCTTAAATAATTACTGGCCGCCGTGTCCTTATTCTTGTCGAGAAGCGTCGGAACATTTGCGTATGATGTACAAGCTGTGGAAGGCACGTTGTTACCGAATGGCGCTGAGCAAGCAGGACAAGGAGCAGTTTGAGCTGAAAATTCTTGCGGAGTCGTTGTTTAAAAGCAAGAAGAAGTCGTACGCGAGGAGTTTAGGTCCGAGATTTATAACCGATCGTCTCGGCGCGGAGCACAAAGCGCTGCGACAGAGTTTCACCAACAATATTCTACCGTCCGGAGAGAATATAAAGGTAGAAATTTGATAAAAATTAAAAAAAAAAAAAAACTGCAATTTAGAAGAAAAGCTCAAAGCGAAAGTTACATTTATTTTTTCCAGTACGCTACTCCCGTCATCAAGTACGATCGGCACGGTTACAAACCGCGCGAGAGAGTGCTCATTTTAACACAGAACGCCGTGTACATCCTCGACACGCTCAAGACGTTCAAACTCAAGCATCGTTTGCCTTACAAGGCGATCGAGGAGTTAGTCGTCACCGGGGAATCCGATAATTTGCTCGTCGTTAGGATACCACCCGAATTGAAGAAAGATAAGGTTTCGATAAGTCCTTCAAACACGTTGATTTTTTTTAATTCTTTCGATAAATTAATCGGTAATGTATAAAATTTTATCGCAGGGCGATTTGATCTTGGAAGTTCCGCACTTGATCGAGGCTCTGACGAAAGCGATCGATATTACCAGCAATCCGAATATTCTCAAAATTGTCAATACCGAGTCGTGAGATCTTTTTTAATTTTTAATTTTGCACAACAAACATCTCTAAATAACTAAGATCAAAATTTAATTAAACGAATTCCGCGAGCTACTTTACTTTAAATTTCTAATTGTCTTTGTGTTCTAGCGTGTCTCATAAGCTAGTCAGTGGTAAGGAAGGAGTCATCGAAGTTAGAACTGGCACCACTCCAGCGATTAGTAAAAATCGACAAAGTGGGCACTTATTAGTGGTAAAGAACCGAATATTCTTAAAATTTTAACTAATTAATTTTCCTTGTTTTTTTTTTACATTTCCCTTATAACTTGCTGAATTTTAGGTTGCTACTCCATAAAATGTGAGAACCTTTTTTGAAGGGATTGGAAGATCGAAGTGCTATGATGCCTTACAGGCAGCCTTTTAATACAATGTGATTTAGAGCATATACACATGCCACAGAGAGAAATTTATTAAGAAGAAAAATAATATATATAACTCTTTATAACATACCTGTTAAATTATCCTGGCACTTTTGTACTTCGGAGGAGACGGCGAGAGATGACAATATGCATTTACTTTCGTTCTATCATACATATATAGGATACGCGAAATAATTTTCTGAAAGTACGAACAAAATATAGTGCCATACGGCTTCCTGTATATTACCTTGTAAATTAATATAAATTAATAATTTATTCTGATAGGTTCAATATATTTACGAGTGAATTTGAGTTCAACTTGTCAATATAATTTATAAACAAACTGTTCTTTTAAGCTAATCATCCTCAGTGATATAAACGTAATAATAAATGAGAAGATCAATCTCTCGAGTATCTTTTTTTTCCATCTTATAAACAAACAATCTTGGAACAAATGTAAGTTTTTATTTTTAATTTAAAAATTTTCAACAAATTTTTATGCAACTTCTACACAACGGCGATCGATATTATTTCTTTTTTTGCGAACTAGAAGTTTTCTTTGTGAGAGTTTTTCTTCCCTCCATGACTCGCCCTCGCAGCTCGTCTTCCGCAGCGGTGTTTACAGTTTTCGAAATCATCTTCTTTAACTTTTGAGTTTCTTGAAGCTTCGTCTTTTTGGGCTGCACTGGAGCATCTTCAAAATAACCACAATCAAGCAGAATGTATTAACGATTTGATTTTTATTAATGACAATTATCTTACAAATCACTGTGGCAGTTTTTTTATTTTACTCACTTCCTCGTCTTTGAATGGCAGGACCTTTTTTTGATTTATTAGCTTTCTTTTTTGCCCCTGCTGGTAGTTGCGTTTTAACTTTGAGCTTTCCTTGTGCCATTTTAATGCTGTAATGTGTAATACAAATATATTGGCGCCAAATCTCAAGATTTAACCATAACAAAGGGTAAAATAAAGTCGAGTTTCGTCAAATGTTAACAAAATTACTTGTTCGAATACCTTTTCAAGCAAAATTTCGGAAGCAAACAGCGAACAAGTTGTTAGGTTAAGTTAAAAACCTTGTCAAGGCTCGTATCCATGAAGAAAAACTTACTAGAATTCGAACCAATCATATTTGAAGATCGTCGTAATCGATCGATACGATTAATATCATATCGTAGACACAAAGTTCGGACTTCAGACTGATTTCCTAACCTTTTAAAGATGTATCTTGAACGAGTATCATGTTGTTAAGATTTGAGGTTAAGTCCGTCTAATTACATTTAACTTGAATATAATTGTTTCTTATTTATTTTTAACGTACTTCCAGCCTGTTCTGAGACTGTTTGTGCACAAATACTGGTCTGCTGCATACCGGTGCCGTGGACGTAAACATAAACAATATAAAAGGTTAGAGGTAATAAAATATTTCAATCCATAATATTGTTATAATAAAATGTTGATAATTTTCAGGTATAATATATATGGATATATTTTACATTTAATACAATGGATGTGTTAGAACCAGAGTTAATTTGGGTTAATGGACGATGCTATAGATTTTACGAAAGTAGTGTTTGGAAAAACATTAACACATCTGCCCCGTACATGGAGGATGACAATGAATCAGTTGTTTGTTCTGAAGAGGAAAGTGATACTGATATAGAGATAGTACCTCATAATGATACACAGTTTAAACACACTTTTTACGTACCCAAGTACGAGCTTTTTTTAATATTTCAATGCAAACATATGCAATATTTGTCAAGAATTGTTTTCATTAGAGCGTAGAGTTTATCAAAAAATACATTTAATACAGTATTTATATTACATAATGTTTTCTTGTGTTCCTGTTATGTTGCTTTATTATTTTAGAATTTTTTATTCGCATATAATTGGAGCAAAAGGTTCAACACTCAAAAAACTGGAAAGTGAAACAAGAGCAACTATAGAGATACCAAAGAAGGGAAAAGATGGAAATATTGGTACGGTAATTGTTTTACACATAGCGACATTATTACGTAAGAACATTAATTCGCTTGGTTTTTAATGTTAGATATATGAGATTCTCTTAAATTTGTTTACAGTCATTATTGCGCGAGATCGTAAAACTGTGTCATCGGCAAAAAACAGAATTGATTTGCTGATAGAGGCGTCTAAAAAGAAGATAAATTTTACACATTTCTTGTCAATTCCATTAAATAAGAAAAATATAATTGATAAATTTAATTTGTTCAAAACTGACGTGTTGAAGAGATACGACAAGGCTACGTATAATATTGACGAAACACTGTTTCAAACGCCATGCAAGTTGCACCTTACTATCGGAGTGCTCAAGTTATTTGATGACAATGATAAAGAACATGCTATCAACGCTCTTAAGAAATGTAAAGAAGATATCATAGAGTAAGAGATATGACTGATAATTATCACTTTATATACGCAATATACCCATAAGCTATCCTACGTAACTTATCATAAATATAAATTTTATATATAAGTATATGCTGGTATAGTAAAAAAACAATAGTTTTATTTTTGATTTCTCAATTAATTATGTATCAAATTTATTGCAGTCCTATTATTAAGAAATCTGGACCAATAACCATACAGTTGCAAGGAGTTGCTTGTATGAATGATGATCCAACTGAAGTTAGAGTTTTGTACGCACAAATTACTCCCAATGAAAAATTACAAGAAATTGTTGATAAAGTTAGCAACTATTTTGACGACATAGGTAAACAAAATTTCAGATTAATACATCATAAGTTTATATAGAATCGTATATGTACACAATAAAAATAATATTAGCGGGTTTGGAAAGCGACATTTTTTCTCGAAACCAAATTAAATGTTTATATTACGTAAAGGTTTTACACGTATATTTCATATATTAAGTATTTCACAAGATATGGAGTTTAAATAACATAACGTATTAAATAAAATTTTCAATTTTAGGTTTGAAGAAAAAAGAGCACGAAAGAGTAAAATTGCACGCCACTTTAATGAATATATTCTTCAGGGATGATTACTATGCGAAATTCAAAAAAAACTTTGATGCAAGTGAAATATTAAAAGTACTGGACTTATCTTTTTTTTGTAAACTGAGTGATCAATAACAAAAGTGGGTACTTAACATTTTGTTTTTTTAGATGTACAAGGATGCGTCTTTTGGAGAAACAAAATTAGAACAAATTGACATATCTGAGCGTCACACAGCTGTCAAAGACAATTACTATAAGTCACTTGTTAGTATTGTTGTTTAAATACTAAATGTATATTATACATTTATATAACTTTCTTGTACAAGGAAGGACATGTTTATTGTCACAAATGTGTGTACAAACAATATTGTAAAATTATGTCAGAAAAAAACAAACTATTTATTATAATATCTTTGAAAACGGCGAAATCTTGTTTCTGTACATACAAAAATTAATATAAAATGTATAGCTTTTCTATCTATAATTTGCTTTAAGTTTATAATTAGAATAATTTGTAAAAGGTATTTAGTTGTGTGTCATTTGTGTTATATTTGAACTTATACTTGCAAAAGTTTAATCATTAATGGTAACATTTTATAGACACAAGGATATTTAATAAAAATAAAATAAATATATATGTAATATTTATCACAAAGATATATAAAGTTTATGTATTTGTATATAAACTTCTGTTATAAATTCATACAGTATGTGTGTCCGGAACTCTCAAACAAATTAAAATAATGGAAACGTTTTCAATATTATGTAATAATAACAGAATAATAAAATCCTTGGTGCTGGAAAACACATTCCAAACTCAATCTAATTTATTGTTCATTTTTCTATTGTTTCTCAATATACAAACTATGATAATTACTTATACATTTTATTGCTTATACATTTTATATATTTATTTATGTGACGCAGGCATAATTTATAAATCATATCGCATATACATATAAGTACGCGCATATATAATTTATAAGTTATATCGCATATATAATTTATAAATTTATATGCATCAAAATTGATTACTTACATTATTATCATAACTGTTTATTTTTACATGTACGTTGTATATACATACATCTATTAATCCTTAATAATAAATAGTATGTTTTATATACATACGTATATTTA